AAACTATTGAAACAAGTTGTAAGAAGCCTCCAGAACACAATTGGTTGCTACGGTTGCAACAGGCAGATTCTATAAGGTCCTGTTTTCAAATATAAGATCATATTCACATATTCAGCACACTTGGGTATCAGAGGAAATGAAACAGCAAATCAACTGGTAAAAAGCAGCAGTCAAGAAAGCAACAGTGGAAGTCAACTTACAATTATCAAAATCAGAGAGCAGCAGCATAGGGTGGAGGAAAGCAATTCAACAGTGGCAATAACATGGAGACAGGACAACTAAAGGAAGACATTTGTATTCAATCCAGAATAGATTCAACATGTAAAGAAGTAGTGGCACAAGACAGAAGTACTAATAGTATTAAGCAGGCTGAGAAGTGGGCATAGTAATCTCAACAGTCGGTTCATAGGATAGGAAAACATGCAACAGGTATTTGTGACCAGTGTCTGGAACACATCCTTACTTCAGGAAATCTACATGAGCAGGAATCAAAATAGGATCCATAGAGAACATTGTTCAACGCATAGTAGAGCTTGGAGATTGTTAAACAGGGAGGAAGCTGTTATTTAGATGTTTAAGGAAGACTGGACTGGAACATAGACTGTACACACAGGACTGGACAGACGAGTTTGAAATAAATGGAAACTGAGGGGGGCAGTAATGCGACACTGTGGATGCCAGCTGCCGTAAAGCCTGACAGAAGAAGAAGACGTAGCAGCAGAAGAAGAAGAAGAAGCAGTCATGCAGTACACAGAGTATGAAGGGAACCTGAACAACGCAGTTATGTTATCTGACTAATGTGTAACGAGCTCTCTAGAGCTGCTGGTCTATGAAAAGTCGCTTCGCTTCAGTTAAGCCCTCGGACTACAGATTGAGACGAGGCTCCGCCGCATGAGAGAGCGTTAACAGGTGAAACGCTAGTTAGCATTAGCATGTTTTGTAGCTACCTGTCAATCCCGCCGCTGTCATCGGGCTGGTGACTAACATTTAATGATGTCAGCCAGTTGAACCAGTCCGAGCTTTCTCAGGAACAGGTGACACCCTAGTTAGTTAGAAGATCAACTGCCGGAGCCAGTCGGCTCCTGGGAATCTGCTGACATGGTCACTCACATGTTTTGGTGGCCGTCTGACTGACTAGCATGCTAACGTGAGAGCTTCTGCTAGCTCAGCGTTTGACTCCGAGAGTGTGGAGCAAACCTCAGCTTCTCTCGAAACCACATGTTAACAAACGATTGTTTCTCAAGTTATTATCAGTGTGTCAGTGTGTCCAAGGCGGAGCTGTGTCATGTTTAACTAAATAACTACCCGGTGGTGGAGGTTAAGCCTGCGTCATGTTTTTAAAGAGCTGGTTATTTGTGTTTTGACTGACGCACACCATCAGCTGCTCCCTCTGTTTAGTAAACGTGGCGGTTTTATTAACAGCTACAATAGATCAGCAGAAAACTCAGTAGGACTCCGGTTGTCCCTCTGAGAGTCTCTCTCAATCTTCTTGATGCACAGTGAAGCCATCAGTGGTGATCACAAACATGGAGTATAATCTTTATTGAAGGGGTGAGCAGCAGTTTGCCTTCCAGATTATTTTACTGATAGCAGACACGTGCTGCTGTGTTCCTGGAATTTCTGCTTCTGCTTACAAGACAAAAATACCCTGTGTCTTAAGTACAAGGGTGATACTACATTCCCCACTGAGGTGAAAGTTTTAATGAGTCTTGGGTTCAATGAAGCCCAGCAGACTGTTTGACTGTACAGTGTCTGTTTCAGGATGGCAGGAGTGTTCGACATAGACTTGGAGACGGAGGACATCAGTGATGCAGAGGTTTGTATCCCATCATCGTAGATACAACTACTGTAGATCACATCAATAACTGAATGTCACAGGGATAAGTTGAAAAACTGTGAATAGTACTCTTCCTTATACAGTACTTAATTACTGGTGGCTCGTGTTGTAAGATGACATCTTCAGTTGTTCATTTGAACAGGTTTTCAGTTTGTCATTTTCCTTTGTCACTATTGTTTAACCCTTCTTGGCTTGTTGTTCCTTGTTTGTAGGATGATGTCTGTGACTTCACTGCCCCAGAACCAGAGAAGTAAGTTTAATTGGATTAAAACATTTATTTAAAATGTTTTTTTTTTAAGGCATTCACTTTAGAAAAAAATTATGTAGTTTTTATGAAATGAGAGCACCTACCTTCAAATCAGAATCATTAGGCGACATTTTGCATGTTTTCAGACATGCACAGAACTCAAGAGAACCTCTGGACGTTCTCTGGAGGGTCTGTATGTGTGAATGCAAATGTATGAGTAAGATTCTCTGGCCTTTCTGCAGACTTTCTCCTTCCAGCCCCCTAGTATAAAGCTGCATAATGTCGGCAGGAGCTAATGTAAGAACGCAGCAGGAGATCCTCCATGACAGATGCAGATATGAAGTAAACTGAAGGAAAACAAATACCTCAGGAGGAAAAAGCAGAGCCATACATGTAGAATAAGAGTACTTTTGCTGATAAGGGAAGATGCTGGTGTTGATGTGATGTAGAAAAAAAACACGTGCTCTCCGCAGCAGAATTAATATGTTAATGAATGAATGAATAGAACTTTATTGTCCCCTGAGGATGGAAGATTGCCTTCGGCTCACCAGTACAAGATAAAATCAGATAAAAGGACAATACGATACATTATAAAAGCAGCTCTATTTCTGTGGGTTGAAGTGCAACAGTCACTATACTGAGATACAAATTGGGTAAAAAAAAAGAAAAGTGAAAACAGTCCTGTCTCTCTCTGCTGCTCCACCCTGAACCACTCCAGAGATGTCTGTTGTTGTGAACACATCTGAGCTGTGTTGAAAAAAAATGGCTTTTGAGAGCTCTGAAGCATACATGTCCCGCATCTGTAGTTTGATCCAGTTTTGTTTTTGGATTGGGTTTGTGACAGTGGGAGAAAGGGCTGCATGATATGTTGAAAATCTATTGTCATCGCGATATCAACGTGCATGATAGACATATCACTAAAGATGGCAAAAACTGTGATTAATGGTGTTCCATTATGTCAATATATTCAGTTATTTCCTTAATTCAGAAAAACAGATTTTGTTTTCTCAAGGGAATGTCATTTTCTGTAGATTTACACCTTACCTTCTGTGTTACTGTGTCATTCTCATCCTTTAACTTAGTGGTCCGACGGAGGAGGTGGAACTGACCAGTGAGAGCGTCAACAGAGACAGTGAGAGAGTTGGGCCCGACTGCTTTGAGCTTCTTACTGTGCTGGGAAAAGGAGCATATGGCAAGGTTTGTGTGTGTATGTGTGTCTCTGCATGTGTTTGCAGGCTGGTGTTGACATTAACCCATTTTAAAGGATCTTGCTCTTTCTAAAAATAACCTATTTAGAGCTACCCACTAAATATACCCCACAACACAGTAACAGAGTAAACAAGAATTTAAAACGTTTGATGTTAAATGTCTTAATATTTTTTCAGAAATGTGTTATTGCTGATTACTGGAGTAACCCATATTTGTACTTCACTGGGCAGAAGTGTCCTCAGAGATACACATGCTACTATAGTTTACTGCGGCCAACGGATATGACGTTATGATAATAACTGTTTGTCAGATGATGTCTGCCTAAGTCTCATAATCACGTCACTTATATTAAACAGAGAAAATATATATTATACTCAAATCTTGCACTGCAGAAAATATCCCTTTGAGCACAGTCATAATCTTAGTTACTCTTAACAACAAACCTCTGTCTTTCTTTAAGGTTTTCCAGGTGAGAAAGGTTCAAGGAGCCCAGATCGGGAAGATATTTGCCATGAAGGTGCTGAAAAAGGTACAGTGAAGGAGCTGACTAACTGAGCTAACTTTCTCCTGAGACACAACTCGTTGATATGCATTATATGTTGATGTTCCTCCATTACTCTTCACAAGATGTTTCCTTTTATTTCCTACTCTGTCCACTATCTTCCCACCATTTCCTCTCCTCCCTGTATTTTATATTCCCCCCACCTCTATTTTTCTTCCCCTCCCTTCCGTCTTCTCAACACGTTTGTCATAAGGCTAAGATAGTGTGTAATGCCAAAGACACTGCTCACACACGAGCAGAGCGGGAGATCCTGGAGACGGTGAGACACCCGTTCATCGTGGATCTGCTCTATGCCTTCCAGACCGGGGGGAAACTCTACCTCATACTCGAGTGTCTAAGTGGTAAGAAAGGGGCCCTTATGGATGGACTTATGGATGTGAAGGATTAAAGGCATCAGAGGAGAGACAAATATGGACTCATTTTAAGTGAAATTGTGCAAAGCTAATCAAATCCCTTCACTTTAATATTTATGGTAATTAAGTTTTGATTGCATAGCAAGTAGGAAAGAAAGATGAATGAAGGAATGAATGGAAGTAAAAAAAAATCTCTCATCGATGTGTACTGTTGTTTTTCACCAGGGGGGGAGCTGTTCATGCAGTTGGAGAAGGAAGGCATCTTCATGGAAGACACTGCATGGTTAGGATGTCCTCATCTCAGCTCACTATTTGCATATAAGTTGCAATTGTAAATTGTAACTTTGTACAACTCAAGTTTGCTAATGACATTGTTTCAGTAAGTAATGTTTTATTATAGGTTGTGGACTTAAATAGCTTCTCTGTGTGTAGTTTCTATCTAGGAGAGATCACATTGGCCCTCGGTCACCTCCACTCGAATGGGATCATTTACAGAGACCTCAAACCTGAAAACATCATGCTCAATCACCAAGGTAACGCACCATGTGTTTGTATAGTAAATCCCGTGTTGTAAATCTTATGTGTAAATATAATCACTGCCTCAAAACTAATCCTCAGACTAAACATTAGTCCATGTGAGTGAGGCTGCTATAATGACTTAGAATTCATTTTTAGTTCCTTTAATACATTTGAAAAAAAGTATCATTAATTATCAAAATTAAAATGATGGGTGTTAATAGATTATGATAAAAATGTTATTACCTCTTTTCATCAAAATGGAAAACAATGAGCAAGTCTGCATTCCGTCCCCTCTACCTCTCCACACTTTCTCTTCTTCTCTCCCTCTCTCTTTTATCTTCTCTCTCAATTTTGCGTTGACATGTGACATGTACACTGGTTCGTACAGATATGTAGCCTTCGTTTGCAATAATAAAGGCTCTTTCTCTATTTATAGGACACATCAAGCTAACTGACTTTGGCCTGTGTAAGGAATCGATTCACGATGGAACGGTCACACACACCTTTTGTGGCACCATAGAGTACATGTGGGTAACAGTGCTTTACTCTCATCCTCAAGCTTTTTAGCACCTATGTGACCACAGTGTGAAACAACACCAATTTATCCTCTCCAATAACACTTTGATAACATTTGCTGTGTGATTTTACAAAACAAATTTCACTTACAAACTTGGGAATATTATGGGAGAATGCAAGTTGTACATAAAGCAAACAAAGCTATTTGACTCTTTTTGAATTTAGCATTATTTTTACACTGACAACCTGTCTCCCCTCTGTGTGTCTGCTTCTCTTCCAGGGCTCCAGAGATCCTGACCAGGTTGGGCCACAACAGAGCAGTAGACTGGTGGAGCCTGGGGGCCCTGATGTATGATATGATGACTGGGTCTGTAAGTGAGAACTTCAAGAGACTAAAGTTATTTATGTCAGACAACTTACATTTGAAATATTGCAGAAGCAGACTTAGTGTTTGGCATCTAGGCTCTGACTTAATCACTCCCCCAGATCAACCCAGTGTGCCCTTCCTAAGCTATTTTCAGACAAGTCATGCTGAGTATCTCCCTAGAATTAGATCCGGACGTTCTCCTTAGTTTGCCTTTCACACATGAGCGACACAGTGGGAGATTCTCAGACACAACAACAACAATTTCTCCACAGGATTCAGGTGAGGGGTGGTGTGGCATACAGAGGATGTAATGTATAAATTCTGCCGCAGAGATCATGTGTTTTTGTTCTCAACACATCGACCTGGGCATCAGCTCTTATCACCACAAACTCTCTTGACATCTTTGTCTGTGACCTCTTTTTGTATGGCTCCCCTTTTTCATGTGGAGATATTTGTTATCTTGTTTTTTTTATTTTTCTGTTGCATGTTAGAAATGTCATCAACACCAGCACTCACTCTCAGTGAATCCTGCTGGGGAATCAAATATGAGCTCCTTCCGGTGTTTCTGCTGACTTTACTCTATGGGGATATTCAAAAAAAATGTCAGCAGAAACGCAGAAGGCTCCCACTGATTGCTACATTTGCATTGAAACGTTTTCCGCAGTTAGCACACGTCTAACAGCAGCATTATTATGAAGTGGCTGCTGGAGTCTGAGGAGTTAAGACACATAATAGATTGAGTGAGGCCTTTACTTTGGTTAGAACTTCATCTCAGCAGTGATATCAGTGCATCAATGCTTGTCTGTACCGAAAGCTTAGGGCAGTAGATGAGAGCTAGAAATAAGACTATCCTGTGAGTTAAAGGAAAGCTACAGGCGACCATCCAGCTCATACTGAAAACAGCCTGGACGACGTTGTGCCTCTGCCTCCTGAATATTTGACTCGTTTTTCAGAACTTTGGAGAACTGAATAATTTCCTATAGCATTACTTTTAGTGGAGTGTGAAAAACTGTGAGACAAAGAGGTCTTGAAGTTTTTTCCTGATCGAAATAGTTAAACTGTAAGAGGCAGAGACAGAACAGATCAGTAGCAATACCTTGAAATCAGTCAGAGAACGAGGACAGCTACTCTCATACAAAAGACAAGTGTGTAGTTCTTGTGATATTTTTTTTTTGCAGCTCAGTTTGGAAAATGTGATTCATTCAATGAACTTCTATTTAACTTGTAACAGTATCACTCTGCTGTTGCCGTAAAATGTTGAGTAATGTGTTAGCACCCAAGAAGTGGTGCTGTGTATTGCAGCTGTGATGGATTTACTTCTCTGTGTAGAGATTAGAGTGACCACCAGTTTATCTCCTTCACTGACACACTCCTCTGATTTTCCATCAGCCTCCATTCACAGCTGAAAACAGGAAGAAGACCATTGATAAGATCTTGAAGTGTAAACTAAACCTACCCCCATACCTGACCATTGATGCCAGGGACCTCATTAAGAAGGTCTGTAACCTGCTCACACACACACACACACACACACACACACACACACACAGTTAACATTGTTAACATTGTTAACATTGTTAACATTGTTATTACAGCACAAACATTGCCAATTTATGTCAGTAAATTTTTTTCCATTCATGTATCATCTATCAAGTCTGTCTGTGAGGCTTCAGCCTCTGAAAGTCTCTTACATGTAGATTTTTTTCTTTATACCCAACATTAATCCATTTCTTTCTTGTGGAACTAACATTATATTGCTGTGATTTCATGATTTGTGACAACAAAATGAAATAAGGCCATTGTGAAGGACAAGAAGTATGAGAAATTGAATATTTTGCCAGTCGTGGTTCTTTATGTTCACTGCAGCTCATTATAACTCTAAGTTGAATTACAAGAAATGGAATCATATCTTATCTTCTTTGCATAGTCTGTATTTATTTATATATAGTATTTATATAGGCCTTTCTAGTCTTGATGACCAAATTTAACAAAACAATTCACAATAAGGGAGTGAAACTCAATTCTATCATTCAGTATCTTCAATGATGATACTGGACAGTGCACATTACAATAAATCATATAAAAAGAAAGTATTTGCCTTTTCATATTTTGTAAGTACTTTTAAATAAATAAAACAAAGACAAACCTCTTCAAAGCAACATATACACTGAAATGGTGATGTAGATCAGTCAAGACAAACAGTTTAGGTTCAGGTGGGTTTAAGGAGCCACTGTACGTGCTGTGTGTGATGCTATCCATGCATCAACTGTAAAACTGATCAGGTCAAATTATATCTACATCAGTTTGACGTTCTGCATCTTTTCTTTTCAGCTGTTGAAGAAGAATCCAGCCCAGAGACTTTGTTCCAGTCAAGCAGACTGTGCTGATATCCAGGTCAGTAGTGTGATTGCTTTCTGCGTGGTTTTAGCATGACTTCACTATGATTCTCACTATGAAACTAGAAATACATAAAATCCATGTGTGACGACTCAGGATTTACGGAAATTGTGATAATTCTAAACAATCTCCCTGGGTTGAGTTCTGTACTCCACCACAAAGACCTGATATTATGTGAATAAAGACACACGTGTTGTATATTCCCATTTAAAGAATTTGAAATAGCAGATATGTGGTATACACATTCCCCATACAACCATTTCACTCTACTTTCTTCTCATTTGACCCTGAAAACATTGAACAATGATCAGACTGCTCTGATACTATATAACAACATCACAAGATTTTTAAATGGAAGAAGACCAAACCAAATTAAGATCGACTGTTATTTTCCCCTTTGAATCTGTATCTGAAATAATAGAGTCAGAGAATCGGTTTCTGCATTAAACACTGCGTTAAAAGTTTGGCTAAAACAAAAAAAGAAACCATTCTTATCATATCCTCTTTTATATATCTTCTAAACAGAATATATACAATAAATCTAAAAAAACTCACTGACATAAGCAGATAACAGTTAAAACATCTTGATGCATAAAGCAAAACACGAAGGCTTTGTTCCTCTGCAGAAACATCCTTTCTTCAGGCACGTTAACTGGGATGATCTACTGAACAAGAGAGTGGAGCCGCCTTACAAGCCCCAGCTGGTGAGTCACCAGATGTCCCCTCTGTTATCTTTATATGTCTTTGTGTCTCACACACATCCCTCCATCACTATCTACATTCCCCTTAATAAATGTGTTCCTGTGTCTAACGTTCAGCTGCCCCTCTCTGTGTCTCTGTAGCACTCAGATGAGGATGTGAGCCAGTTTGACACCAGGTTCACCAGACAGACACCAGTGGACAGTCCTGACGACACCTCACTCAGCCACAGTTCAGAGCTTGCCTTCGCTGTGAGACAGTCTTCCTTATCACACTTTTTAAAAGTTTATAAATAGGCTCTAGAAACCACAGACAACTCCAGATTAAAACTTTCTTTTGTGAAAGGTAATGTGTCAGTGCCTCTTTCACTGCACCTTCCTGTTCAACACACTTAATGGAACAAGCAGCTCTTTTAACTTTACAAGGAATTAATTGTGACTATCTGTGACCCATCAGGGTTTCACCTACGTGGCTCCATCGGTCCTAGAGAGTCTAAAAGAAGGCTTCTCATTTGAACCCCGAACACGACCTGTCCGCCGACACAACAGCAGCCCACGCACACCCATCAGGTAACACACAAAACATCAGTTCCCATCTATGAAGCCACATCAGAAAACCTTTATGCTTCAGCAATAGTGATAGTGTCTTTACGTACGTACGATTAACTCACTCGATTTTGGGAGTGACTTCAAATGTGGTAGAAATTCGGATGAACTGATTTTGGCACCTGGAGGTCAAAGGTCAAGCTCAAAGTGTCCTCATGTTACTGTGATTGTGACATATTAGGACTTCCTATAGGGAGTTTCATTACATTTGGTACAATTCACTTGGATTCACAAATAAATTGATAAGATTTCAGTGGTCAAAGGTCAAGGTGGCTTCAAAAACCTCTTGAATGTGATGTCTCAGGACTGCTTGAGGGAATTCCTTCAGCTTTTGATCAATTGTCACATGTACTCAGGGATTAAGAGATTATGCAGCACCTTATCCCGACCCTCATTCACCCCCAGTGGATCCCGATCAAGGCCTGTATCAAGTACAAACTCTCACCTGTAAATCCCTCCACCCCTACACTCCGCTCAGAAGGCTGCAGTCCTCACTCACAGGGTTGCTCCCCATCCCCAACACCAATCTGCGAACCTTTGGAGACAGAGGCTTCTGTGTCGCAGTCCCCCCCCCACTCTGAAACTCTCTCCTTGACGAAATCCACAATGCTACAACTCTGGTCAGCTTCAGAAAAACTCCTTAAACACCACCTGTTCCCTCAGGCCTTTGGCCTCAGTTAATGCTCCAGCCTGCCATTAGTGCTGTTCATTTCTATCCACTTTGTGCGAATTACTTTTTTTTCCTCTTTTGTCTCCACGGACACATGTAAAGCGTCCTTGGGTGTTTTGAAAGGTCCTATATAAATTCAAGCTATTATTATTACTATGTTTCAGTTGTCAGAGATGAAGGTCACATTGCATTTTATATGAATCTGAAAAGAAAGTATGTAGAAATATGTACACAGAAACTGCTTTCTAATTCTTATTTATAACCCTGCACCTTGTTGTATACAAAGCATTAGCATGATTAATTATCAATACACCAGAAGCTAATGTATTGATAATTAAGTTAACTTGATATAAGCTTATGTCTCCTACAATTTCTTATATAAACTAGAGACATTTCTTTTTATTCAACAATCATATATTTCTTATAACCTTTCCGTGTTTTGTTTTTAGTCCCCTGAAGTTTTCTTCTGCCGGGCCCTTCAAGTCAAGCACTGATGGAGAGCTGGACCCTTTCTCTCCCACTTCCCCGCCGTCAGCCCCGGTTCCCGTGTCACTGGAAAACGGAGCTGCCAGTCAGCCAATCAGGACCCCTGCGAGGAACAAGAAGCAGAAGGGACATCGGAGATGAGGAGGAAAGGTTCAGAGTCAGCCTGTGCCGCAAGACTTTGGTCAGATTCATGTTTTCTCTTGAATACAGCAGGTATTGAGGCACAGAGCTGAAGGTTTTGGTTTTTTCTGATATGCTTTTTTTGAAGTGGTTTAACTCAGAGGTGTCTGAAAAGCCAAAAGCTTTTTTTTCCTGTCAAATTTAAGTTAGAAAACTCAAACACACACGGCTCATCTTGGGTCTTACTTTCCAGCTTATCTTATTTGTCATATTGACTGTTTAAAGGTAGAATACTTCACACAAACTTCACTGGATCAACATGAATATTTATGCTTTAACATTTAGACTTTAGAGCCTCAGTTTGATCACTGTCGTCAGATGGCCACTTAATTGTGCAAAGCTTTGTTATATCTGCACTGGAAAAATAAGGACTTACGGAATTTATTTTTTTTTCAAATAAGATCAGAATAAGGACAATTTTCTTCACCACTTTTCCTAAATGCATCATGGGCAGATAAGGTTGTGTAAATGATGGACTGACTGCTAAGTGTTTTAATTTTGTATGTTCTCCACATGCTAGAATTATTACAGCTAAAGGTAAGCTGTCATATATGTTTTTTCGTTGAATAAGTTAGGTAGAATCAGCTTTTAATTAGTTCATCAGAGTTCGTCAAAGAGGTCGGTGTTTGAATTAGAAAAATCAATGAACGATGTTTTGCTTGGATTCTTTTTCATAAATGGGACAAAGACCTTCAGCGCTCATAGAAATCTACTAAATGCTACATTGCACACATGGTTCTTGACTGTCAGGTGAAAATATGGAAAATCTTTGTTTCTCTGTTCACGTTTCTTCATGTCTGCTGCCAAAGGTTTCCACACTTGCTGTCCTCATATTGTAAAAACGGACCGATCACATTATATTAAGGACTGAACAAAAGGGACACGCTGTATGTATCCATCAGGTCAATAAGGAGGAATCACATACAGAGCATCCATAAAAACAACAATGTACAGTCAAAGTGGTGCTCTCAGAAAAAAAAGAATTATCTTGTATAGAAAGAGTATTTTGGGTTACAGAAGAAACCTATTTTTACACATATAACTTAGGTCAAAATAAAATGCTTCATATTACGAAGTGTTTGATTGCCATTGCCCGACATAGCCAAACACTTACTCAGAAGTTAGATGGGTCATAGGAAGGTTGTGAGGTTCATTTGATGCCAACATTTTCTCAGCAATGCATTTGTTCTTAATCAGTGGGTTATAGATTGAGATCAATCAGACTAAATCTTTGTACATGGCTTTATAGGTATATAGTATTATTTACAATAAAAAAAAAAGAAAAAAGATTGCATTAGTCTTTAGGTGCAACAAGAAAACACGGGCAGCTCCATGAAGCAGCAGAGGCTAAATAAGTGTAAATATTGTAACTGAATTCAAGACAACAGACATGATGAATGGTAAAATAATCGATCAGCTGCATAGCTTTAAACCATTGTCTCCACAGTGCAATGACAAATGGACAATTAAAGATAACAGAGACAGACAGACACACATGTATTGTAGTGATGGGACAAAATGGGAACAACGCTGCGGTGCAAACAGCTCACACATGAGTAACGGCTGCAGAAGTAAACGTGTGCTTCTATTCATTAGCTTAATCATCATAAATCATTAGCTTCCTGTCCATCGTGGTCTGTACTGGAGAATAAAATAATAACTAGGTGTAAACTATCCTTTGAATTGTATATATGTCTTAATTTATGTATGACAATAATGCATAAGGAACTAAAGAGTCAGATGAACAAATGCAGATAAAAAACCTTGAAATGGTGAAATCATTTAATGAAGACGTGGCTACACCAGGAGCATGTGTCAGTCCAAAGGAATAAATGTAAAGAACAAATACTGCATGAATTGACATGAATATTTTCAAATTGTAAGTTGGACTAATATTTCTAACCTGCAAATCTAATGACATTTCCATCAGCCTGAGCCACTGGTGTCCAGCACGTTTTCATCCCAACAGGCTGAACTAAACCGATGAATACAACCTGCTTAACATCATCACATTCGCTTTGTTACAGTGGGTCTTTTCAAACACTTGATTCCACTGTCTGCTCCCTGGCATCGGCTCTAATGTAAAAACAGAAGAGAAGATTGAAACAACTTTGCATAACA